CACTTGCCTTCTGTCAAGCGTGGCAACTATGGCAAATATCCTTTCGACAAACTACAGGGGAGGGCTATATAAGTAGTCCTACGCGAACTTCTTATATCTTTACGCGAACACTACACATTTATACGAGACTAAGCTCTACGTACCCGAAACGTCGGGAATTTAAATGAAGTCAATATACGCGATAAAATCCGTATAACTTTTGTTAGTTAGTTTGTAGTTTTCCTCTCTAACATCGCGCGTCACTTCAAAGAAATTTTTAAACTGTGACCTCAACTATGAAATGTCGAATACTCGCGATATTGACTTTTCCGTTATTAAAGATTTCAAATTAGAGGATAAGGTCAATTTTTGGGTCTGAAATAGAGGACGCCCATTAAAAAAGTCTTGTAAAGTCCTACAACCGTAGATATTCCCATATTGTGCCTAATTTTGCGAAATTTACGGGCATTATCATTGCGATAAAAGGTATAAGCAGTCCAGCTACTGGCTAATTGATGTGTATCTGGGTTGGACGTGTATGAGAATGTATGAATGTGTGGCCGTGGTAGGAAAAGGGGAGATCTCCCGCCGGGCAAGGTGTTCTGCCCGGGGAGCGGCCAACACTCCATGTGATAGTTTTTTTTTTTGCGCCCGAAGCAAATATGGGCAACCCTCCGGAAAGCGGGGGAGGGAGGCGGTGAATGCTCATAGCATACCACGCAGCCGGCTGCGTGGTTATGTGGAGACTTTTACCCACTAAACACCGCCTTTTAGGAATTGGCTTAACGATCTGACTAGAGATCTCTAAGCCGTATACGAACGCGACCCTCCTTGGCAGAAAGGAGGGCGCAGCCATGTGATAGTTCGGACATGTTCTATATATACTGTTTATGATCCGGAATTTTTGATAGCGTGATTTAGGCTTCGGTGTGTTTCGCTTGTGGCGCGACGACAGCGCCGCCACAAATGAATTTTTATGTGTTGAGTGTATTATTTCTGAAGCATGTTTTATACACTGTATATTATAGTGGCAGTTTATAAGCATAAATAAGCAAAATGGCGGATTGTGTCAGCGCTACTGAAGTTAGCAAACGTGTCCTGGCCTAAAACTATATAGTTTCGCCATTTTGCTTACAAGCGCTTCCTAGCGCTTTTTTCTGCTAAACACACCCAATGTTTCAATAAATCTTCTTGTTATTTGAATAAAATTTAGCCTATAATCACTCCTGGCTTTTCCTTCCATCAGTTCGTAGAGTTTCTTCACAATTTCAGCCGTTCCGCAGATCAGCCTTGACAGAAAAACCAACAAAAAAAGTTTTTTTATATCTTAATAGCATACAAATAACTCAGAAGCAATTTCTTTCAATTGTAAAAGACTTAAATATAATTAGATTTTACTGTTCGTACTTGCTTCGTAAAAATATGTTTCAAATATTTCGTTCATTTACCCAGAACATGTGAAGGAAGGAAAATATTCAGCAGTTTTCGTATGTCTTACGAGGAATCAAAAGTAATTCACGTTCAATAAACGATCGACCTTGGCCGATATATACCTCCGCGTCGAGCCGGACTCATTGAAGCTTCGCCACACGTGATGTGATATTTTGGTCGCTGTGTCCAAACATTCAGCACTATCGATCAAACGGGTGACGTCACGGAAACATATTTTCATGATGGGTTTTCAGTGGAATTGGTAGGCATCACTGGCGCCAGCGATATATTTCCAAAACAGTTTTTGCTTGTTTATCCTGCGTCTTTAAATAAATTCTTGCATCCGTGAATATATTTTACATCTCGACGTTTAGCTTCACAGTTTAACTTACTTAGGCAGCGAGATGTATTTAATACAAACACTACATTTTTGGCTTTCGATCAGCCTTGGACCGTGGAATTGATTTTATTTTTATTTTCAATATGCCGTCTTCAATTGTGTTTAGTAATCAAAAAGGAAAGCTGTCAAGACTTATTTTGGGTACGAAATATATTTTTTTAATATTTGTCTATTCATACACTGTTATAAATATAGGTACATTTCTTTGCATGATGTAATTCAAATACGCGTACTTGTCATTCAAATGAGAGTTGTCTTCATATTATTTACCCTCCCTTTTTAAATTCTTATGAACAGGTTTTGTAATCATTTATAAAGAAAATAAATCAGGTACAATCACAGAAATCGTAATAATATTTTTACTATGTCAATGGGTACAATACAATCAGTACAGTAAACTTAGCACAGAAAATCGTCGATGGATCGCAGAAAACATCAAATTGAATCCATCGACTAGGTACCCATCGACTACCTACGGTGTTGAAAGAAAACATATTTAGGAAACCTACATGACTGAGAAATTTAAAAAGTATTCTTTTTTCTTAGACTAGTGAAGTCCGCCAACACGCATGGGGCAGTGAAGCACACTTGCTGCCCTAAAAATCTTCTGAACCTTCTACTCCGAAATCTTTCCAAAAATAAAACTACTAGATCTGATTATAATAATGTCTAATAAGACTAAAATTAAAAATACAGTATTAAATTTACTTATGTTACTACAAACAAACAAACTATACTAAACAATAATAAATCAAGTCATTTCTCTCATCACAACTTACTGACTAGGATATAAACTTTAAACCAATGCGGAGAAGCCCTAAAGTTGTGTGAAACTAGTGCTGGAAACATTGAAGTATTTCTTCAGTACCTTGAAATGAGTATTAAAAAAAAATCTGCATAGGCAGATCACCACCCTCCACGAGTGTTAATCCACAATCCTTGTTTATTTTACGCTTTGTTAATGCGAGACATTGATATTCACCTTGTATTAAATCGCTTACTGCCAAACTAATAATAGCGCCCCTATGTTCATCCAATGCCAAACAACGACACGAAAATAGCGCACCTATCTCTATAACAAAACAACCTATTTTTCCTGAACACTACAACAAACAAGAGCGCTGACTTACGTGATTAAATGCGACGTGCAAACAATTTCAAACAAGGCTGAAGAGATTCGGTGTGGAAACATAATATTATTAAGTTTCTTAATGATTTGTGGCCTCCAATAAATAGCTTGATAACTTTTTTTTTATAGGAAAAGGGTGACAAACGAGCACACAGCCCACCTGATGGTAAGTGGTTGCTGTGGCCCATAGACGTCTACAACTATTTTCGTTTGCGAATCAAAATGCAGATGCGTTGCCAGCCGTGAGGACTAAGATGGAATGCCTCTTTTCCAGTAAAAAGGGGCTCCGGTTCTCTACAGTCACCATACGAAACACAGCAGCATTAAGCTGCTATTTTACGCTGGTATTCTGTGAGAGCGTGGTCCTTCCCCGGTCGAGCCGACCCATTCGTGCTACAACTATACAATTAATATAGCTGCAGCACGGCTCTACCACAGTAAAGCATGGCTCTACCACAATAACTGTCTGTAGAATAGAATCATTTTTATTCAGTATTGATTACATGTTATTCTTATTGAAATTCATTTTTTTTTCTTTCACCACTGGTTAGGAAAAAATAATTATTTATTTAACAACTTCCGTGTCCGCGAAAAAGACACAATAAACAATCGAAATGTTCACATATGGCTCATGGGAAAATGAAATGTTTAAAGTTGGCTTTTTTTATTTAAAGTTTAATTATTTGAACATTTTGAAAGGATTAAGAATTATCACAAACTAGAGATATCAAATGAAATGTCGTCTAAATAGTCACATTAATAATTTTGATTTCTTAAATTTATGCCATACCATCCTCACCAGCTGGATGTGTCCATGCGTTGCCGGCCCACCACTGTGCGTTTTACTAGGAGTTTTCTTCCTCGTACAACTTCTCTGTAGAGTTGTTTACCACCGGCAAATTTTCCGGACCGATACGACTTACGGACCTTCAAGAAAATAGCTTACTCCTTTCTAAAGGGTCGGCAACGCATCTGCAATTCCCCTGGTGTTGCGGTTGATCATGGGCGACGGTAGTCACTTACCATCAGGTGAGCCGCATGCTCGTTTGCCTCCTCTTCTATAAAAAAAAACAAAAACGCTACACATTGAATAAAACTATATTAACGGATTTTATCGGGATAAAATCATAGTTTTATTCAATAAATTTTTTTATTCATAGCTATAGAATTTTCTCTCCATATTTACATTGGATCACCTCTGAAGTGGAATCTATCATTACCATATAATATATCATTAAAATAGGTTCACAATTGACGATATATACAAAAAACATACCGTCAAATTGAAAACCTCCTTTTGTTTTTGAAGTTAGCTGAGAAAGGTATCTGGTTCTTTTCCCTCAACATATGATTTACATGAGAATTATTTTGGTGTTATTTTACGCTGATATTCTCAGTCGGCCGTAGTTTTTCCTCGGTAGAGCCGACCGACACATTCTACTAAAATAAACAAAGTCCCATATAATAACTTTGCCCCCCCAACTACAAGTATACTTTTTTTTAAACTTACATTACACCTGACGGTAGGTCGCTAATACAGTCCATAGACAACTGCAGTCAAAGTCAAACAAAGAGGGGCACAGACGGCACCCGAGAACCGAGATGCAATGTTACACTGCCTGTATTTGTACTGACTTTGTATACCCTTTGGATCGGAATCGAACAGTTGTACGTTTTTTTTTATAAGTAAATATGACAACGGAGCACACAGTCCACCTGATGGTATGTGGATGCTGTGTTCCATTGACATCTACATTTAATCATCCTCGATTAAGAATCAAAATGCAGATGCGTCGTCACCCCTGAGGACTAAGGTGGAACGCCTTATTTCTATTAAAAAAGGGTATCTGGTACTCACTCATCATACGAAACAACATCATTAAGCTGTTATTTTACGCTGGTATTCTATGAGAGCGTATCCCTACACCGGTCGAGCCGACCCATTTGTGCTACAACCAAAATATAACTGCAGCATTGTTGTGGATGTATTAGTAACCTATGACTATACCCAAATAGAAATGTTGAAAGAATGTCTAACAATTTTTTTTTTATTGTCTTCAGGTACGAACGTCTTTTAAGACGCGCTCGGAGCGAGGACCTTAGCGAGATATCGGGCATCGGTTGTCTATACCAGAGCGGCGTGGACCGGCTCGGCAGACCAGTGGTCGTGTTCATAGGCAAATGGTTCCCCATCGGCGACATCGATCTCGAAAAAGTGAGCCTGTTTTATATATTGTTTTGTCACTGGTTTTCCTTATTTATTTTAAATTACCTAAAGACTTCTACGTTTACTACTTGACCGGAAGTTCAGAACAAAAACTGAGTTTTTTTTGTTATAGAATAAGGGTGACAAACTAGCACACAGTCCACCAGATAATAATTGGATGTTGTGACGTATAGATATCTACATCAATCTTCTATTAAGAATTGAAATGATTTGATTCCAGTAAAAAAAAACAAACAAAGTCTAAATTGAGTTCAAAACTGGAAACAAAGATATTTTAGGATAACATTGTCATTCCAAGGCGTCTATAAATTCTCGAATAAATAAAAGTTCCTCCGTTTTCAGGGTTTTTAGTTTTAGCAGATTTTAGGGATAGAAACAACATACAGGTTATCCTATACCTAATCTAACAACTGATTATGTGCTGACACTAAGTTTTTATCCCTAAAAGTCCTGCTATAATTTACAAGATATTCAATTAAAATCATTTTAAATTGCGATTTAGTGTCGTTTCTTTTAATTTTTTTATCAAGCAAGTTATGATTCGCGTTTCTATCACACAAACCAAGTCCATAATATGTCCAATTTTTTTAAATGTACCCCCACTAAGAACCTTCTGTATCGCTGAGGCAGTTACATACATAAATTACACAAGAACATTATCTAAACCCGTACCCTACTAAGCTAATAATATTTAATTTGATTAACAGAGTTGCCTTAATTTGTTTGCGTTACCGCTTCAGAATCGTATCTCGTCCACGCTTTATCAATATTTAAAAAGAAATGTTGATTTTGTTTAAAACCACTCGACTTTTTCGATAAAATTTAAATAGGACCACCTGAGAAGTATTACTCTTTGAAACAAAAAATAATTTTCCAAATCGGTTCGGGCGTCTTCAAATAATCGTGAACATACATATAAAAAAAGATTTCGACGAACTGAGAACCTCGTCCTTTTTTGAAGTCGGTTGAAAAGAATAAGCTCAAATCGATCCAGAAAAATTTGTGGTGGTAAACAACTCTACAAAAAGTCGTGCGAGGAAAAAAACTCCTATTAAAAGTCTTGTAAAGAAGTCGTAATAAAGCGTAAAAGGTATTGCGGATTTTTAATGTAGAAATTAGGGTAATGGATTACTCTTTCGCAGCCATCACAGCTATTTATTATTATTTTAATTCAAGCACATCGCTTGCAGGCGCTGCTGTACCTGATCAAGCTCCTGGACCCGATCGTACGTGGTGACTACGTGATCGCGTACTTCCACACACTAGCCTCATCCAACAACCACCCGCCCTTCTCCTGGCTCAGGGAAGTGTACAGTGTGCTGCCTTACAAGTGAGTATCGCTCGGATAATAAACACTTACGGCATGGGGAAAAGACTTATTAAAAAGGATAGAGCCCCCCCCCCTCACCCCATCACAGTGTAAGCGGTACATTACGATCGGCAAAAAGATAATTATGATATGTTAACACAATGTTTTCTATTATAATATCGGTATCATCCTTTATGGTAGGTAATGAAGAAAAAGTATTTCTTTTAGCACTATTATACATATATCAGTTCCATCACACAACACACATGGATGATTCGACACAAGTTACAATACTCGTATTAAGGTGACAGTAGCGGAACCGGTAGTAGCGAGAACCACAATTCCTAATTTTTTAATTGTATAACATTGCCAGTCTAATAAACATTGCATTGTCTATTAAGAGCCGCATTATGCGTTGCTCCAAATAATCAGAGCTGAACGCATGTATTACATTACATAATTCCTACATCTACACACTGAACATGAAATGCGCATGAGATATGTACGTATATTCAGTCACCATCATTTAAAAAAAATTCCAAAATGGAGTTTCTTAATTCGGCTGCATCTGCGATATCTTTTTAAATTTGGAACCGATTTCAGCGAGTCTTTTTTAATAGGCTATAATTTATTTATTTACGTAACAAATATATATACAATATTAAAAAAAAATAATAAAATAACTAAAACTAAAAGCTTAATTTGGTTTTATTTATTGGCCAAATCTTGATCACAATCCCACCTGATGGCATATGATAGCCCTAGATAGTGATTTGCACTATCTTAGCGTAACAAAAGAAACAACTTGAAAAAAATTTAATCACCATGCCAAATCAGTTAAAAGCTTTGCAGAACCATTTTAAAAATAATGTTGAATATAATTATTTTAATTAGCACTGATTTGATCGTGTGGTGGCGGTGTTTAAATCCACTATCTCATATCGTCCCGTGGGTGTCATCAGAAACGGTCGAGGGAAACACGCCTGGAGACTGACAGCAGCATCTTCCTAATGACAAATAAAATGGTGGATGTGGGGACATTTGCCAATTGACATGTGTCCGCATATGGGCTAGTGGAATCAAACACCGCCACTACACGGTCAACCGTTAAGGTGAAGTGGGCGCCAAAAGCAGATTTTTCACGCTTTATTGGTGCGACTGGTGGCTGTTTGGTCGGTCCGCGCGCTATTTAATGGCACAATATTTATTTGATATTTCTTTTTAAAATGATATATACTCTTACTTACTCTTTTATTTAAAAATAAACCCATAATTCACTCACGTATTGACTGGTGAACACATAGCCTGAATTTAATTGAAATTGATTTCATTACATTCGAATGAAATAGCTTTTTCACTTAGTGGACGTACCTAAAATTGTAGATTTTGAGGAAACTTTGCGATCTTTTTCTATCGAGCCAAAATATGTCAATCGTGTTTTGGCCAACATAATTCACTAAGAAAAATCTTTAACTTTCATAATGAATTAAAAAAATGTGTAATCGTAGTTTTTAATAACAAAAAATTGCTTTTCTGCGCACCTATAAAGCGTGAAAAATCTACTTTTGGCGCCCACATCACCTTAAGAGTTCATTACAATAATTAAACTCAACATTATTCGTAAAATGGTGCTCCGAAGCTTTTAACTTCTATGCAAAATTCTGTGCGAAGTCCTATGTTCCGCAGCGGACTTGTGATAGGCTACACCTTTATACGTATCGATTTATAATTACTTATCCTGCTCATATACCTGCTAATGTCATTGTTATTATATGAAATAGTTTTACCCAACATGCCATATCACTTTATTCGTAAGAAAAATCATACCTTAAATTGTGTTTTTAATTTTATTGAAGTATATTTATTTAAAAGCTTAAATGTAACACTTTAAAGCTAAGGGTACATAGGGCGGACTTAATGTCATGCGACATTCTCAGCCAGTCAAACCTAGGTTGCTGAGAATGTGCATGATAACTTACAAAAATTGTCTTGGCCAAATGGCCAAGACAATTTTTGTTAAGTGCGAAGCATCTAATTTTGCCAAGACAATTTTTAAATAATATTTAAATGTGTAAAGAGTACATAAATATAATTTTTAAATGATTTCGGTTTATTTCATTAGCTAAAATTGAACCATCTTGTTTTCAGATACAAGAAGAACCTGAAAGCGTTTTACATCGTACATCCAACGTTTTGGACTAAAGTAAGTGAATGTGCTCATATTTTTTTTATTTTTTTTATTGCATCCCATTGTTATTACCACAAGAACCCAAAGGATGGACTAAATGCCTTAAGGGATTCTTTACCAGTCAAACTATGGAGTGGTGAGAAAGATGGTAGGTGTAGCAATATAGAGAAAAATGATATTTGTTTATAATTACACTAGCCCCTGAAATACAGGTATAATATCCTAGTACAGGGGCTGTTGACTAACTAACTAAATTTCTGTGCATTTAATGTTTATCAATAAATATTAATTATTATTAATCAAAAAGCAAAAGGGGGCTGTATGGGTGGGTGATTTATAACTAAAGTTGTAAAGAGTCGTTTGGCATGTACATAAAATCATGAATAACTTTAATAAGAATAAAGATGTTCATACTTTAAACACTATTAACAAACATAAACTTGTAATTTTAGTTAATAAATTCTACGAAATTAGTAAGTCATTTATGAAGCGATGTATACGTTTTTACAACGAAATCTCAGAAAATGTTCAAAGTTTGTTAATAAACATTTTCAAAAGTTTTACTAATGGGTTATTAAAATATTAAGGAATACATAAATGAAAATAACCCCTGGAAATGAGGTAATCGCCACCATGCTGGTTCTATTAAAATTCATATCAAAATTGTACAAAAGTATTGTAAAGACGTATATATTTAAAAAGAAATATAATCCCACTGAGTTCGTTGTTGGTTCTTTCGAGGACCGAATCAGTGGTGAAAAAAATTGTACGTTTGTACGTCGGGCCAAAAGTTAATTATTGAGTTTTTTCGTCAAGAAATTCTCAGTAGTTGCCCGAAGTCAGGAAGTTTGCGGTGTCTCACGCCCGTGCCTCGGAAAGCATGTAAAGCCGTTGGTCCTGCGCCTGAATTCTCTCCGGTCGTGTCGGTTTACCGTCCCTGTCGGATTATGAGAGCGAGGGAATAGAGAGTGCACCTGTGCTTGCGCATACACTTGGGCACTATGATCCTGACCTGCGCCGATGGCTAGTCTCCGTTGAAGCAGGCCGCCGTGGCCGAAATTCGGTCTGGAGGACATTATTTACTTCACACGTATGTTGATATTGCGCAGAGGAAAACCATAATGGTTCACTGTTTGTTAACGCTTGATTTTTTTACCCATCTATTTTTTATAGCGTTGCATTGTGCTTTATAAACTATTCTTAAGGAGCAAATTCTAATAATCTCCAATAAAATTGACTTTTAATAAATCATCATCATCATCATCATTACAGCCCTTCACAAGTCCACTGCTGAACATAGGCCTCCCCCAAGTAATGCCACAAAGCACGGTCCTGAGCCACCTGCATCCATCGACTTCCTGCATGTCTTACCAGGTCGTCACTCCATCTAGTGGGGTGTCGCCCGTACACTACGCCTACCGGTACGAGGCTGCCACTCGAGAACCTTTCTTCCCCATCGGTTATCGGTTCTTCGAGTTATATGGCCGGCCCATTGCCACTTCAGCTTACTAATCCGTTGTGCTATGTCGGTCACTCTGGTTTTACTGCGGATATCCTCATTTCTAAGTCTATCACGCAGAGAAACTCCGAGCATAGCCCTCTGAATAGCTCGCTGAGCGACCTTGAGCGTCCTCATACGGCCAGCAGTGAAGGACCACGTCTCTGATCCGTAAGTCATCACTGGCAACCTGCACTGGTTGTACACTTAAGTTTTCAGAGATTGAGGTATACCTGACGAGAAGATGTGTCGTAATTTCCCGAACGCTGCCCAGCCGAGTTGAATCCGTCGATTGACCTCTCGGTCGAAGTTGGACTTACCTAGTCGGACTATTTGTCCCAGGTAAACGTACTCGTCAACAACTTCGAGCATTAGTGCTCCCCACAACTACCGGCATAGGTGTGACATGGACATTGAACATAATCTTTGTTTTGTCCATGTTCATCTTAAGACCTATCCATTGGGAGACACCATTGAGGTCATTGAGCATAATGCTAAGGTCCTCCAGCGATTCTGCCATAAGGACTATATCGTCGGCAAATCGAAGGTGAGTGATGTACTCGCCATTGATGTTAATACCGTATCCTTTCCAGTCCAGTAGCTTGAAAACGTCTTCCAACGCAGCGGTGAAGAGTTTCGGGGATATAACGTCACCCTGTCTTACACCTCTCTGCAGTTGGATAGGTTTCGAACTCTGGTTCTGTACACGGATAGCCATCGTAGCCCTACTGTACAAACACTTCAGCACTTCGATATACCGACAGTCAACTTGGCACCGCTGAAGGGACTGTAGCACCGCCCAAATTTCGACGGAATCAAAGGCTTTCTCATAGTCCACATACGCCAGGCAAAGTGGCAGATTGTACTCTTCGGTCTTCTGTACAATCTGCCGCAGGGTATGTATGTGGTCTATGGTACTGAAGCCTTTTCGGAAACCGGCTTGTTCGGGAGGCTGGAAGTCGTCGAGTTTTAATAAATGTTATTTAATAATCAATATAGAATAAAAATGATTGTATTGTGTTGTAACGTGCCGGGTCCGGTCGCAGATGATGACGTGGTGGTTCACGACGTTCATGGCGCCAGCCATCAAGGCGAAGGTGCACAGCCTGCCGGGTGTCGAGTTCCTCTACTCCGTTATGGCGCGCGACCAGCTCGAGGTGCCTGCCTTCGTCACCGAGTACGACATGACGGTGCGTGCACTTGTTTGCTTACATTCATATATACATAGACAGACCGTGTTGTGGCGGTTTTTTTTTAATATAGAATAAGGGTGACAACGAGCACACAGTCCTCCTAATGGTAAGTGGTTACTGCGGCCCATGGACATCTGTATCTATCCTCGATTACGAATCAAAATGCAGATGCGTTATCGCCCGTGAAGACTAAGATGGATTGCCTCGTTTCCAATAAAAAAGGCCGCCGGTTCTCTAACACTTACCGTACGAAACACAGCATCGTTAAACTGTTATTTTACGCTGGTATTCATTTATTAAAAGCGTGGTTCTTCCCCGGTCGAGCCGACCCATTTGTGCTACAACTATACTACTAATATAACTGCAGCATGGTTCTACCACATACATGTAAGTTGATCCACAACCACATATCGTCCCGAGAGCGTCATAACAGGTGACAGAAGAATAATTCAACAGAAAATGGGTAGCAGCAACTTCCTGACAACAACTCATAATAATATATAATAAATAATATATAAATAAATGCCAAGGTTGCCAACCCGCTTACCAAGTATGGCAACAATGGCAAAATCTCTAATTGACATATGTCTAATTTCAAAATTAAAGTGATGCAATGATTTCATAATACACAAATTATGGGATAGATATACCGAGCACACGCTCGGAAAAAAACTACGTATGCGCCACAAAACGTTTTTATTTTTTAACAAAACTTCGTTATGCATTAAAAATGGTTTTATGAGAACTTAGGTATGATTATTTACTATGCCTTTAAACTAATTCCATGAAATTATTCGTAAAAATACTGTGGTGTCGTGGAGAAATGTAACTAATTAGAGCCTATTTAGCAACATTTTTTATCGAGAAAATTACACGATATCGTGTTTTCCTTTTATGCAATCCAAGTTCATATAGTCAAAAATCATATACTAAAATATTGTTTTGTAATCTATAAAACTTAAAGAATTATGTGAAATAGAAAAACCACCAAATTTTCGAGGTATCACCTTAACAATGCGTATTTATTTGACTTTGAATACATTGACGAAGTTCTCATTTTATTTATATTGAAGTCGGTTGTAATAAATATTTATTTTTACCACTTGTTAACAGAAGCGTAGTCTTATAGATGCAATCGCAATGACTAAGTGTCGGGTTCGCACACAAATCGTCGTGCGGTTCTTATAATTTGTTTGATTACTGACGGTTATTAGTCATTAACTCACATTATTGCCTATTTCTACATAATAAGGCATTGCAAGTTGCAAATTTAGTCCACGGCAACTTTATTTATAATTTACCTAGCATCATATTTGAAAAGCAGAGTTAGTCATGTCACTAAATATGAACCAAAATACGTGCTATGTAGCACAGTTTAATGTTTAAATAAACTACATCCCGTGAAAACATCGTAAGCTGTATTTTTATTTTACATAGTTTTAGTTCTATTTTTTTAAGTATAAGGATGCTAAACAAACATGCAGTCCACCTGATGGTAAGTGGATGCTGTGGAGTAAAATGCTGATACGTCATCACATCTCAGGACCAAGATGCAACGTTGCGGTATTAACTGAAAGGGTCTCCGGTTCTCCTGCACTACTCAGCACACGAAAAACGGCAACTTTAAGCTGCTATTTTACGCTGATATTTTGTGAGAGCTTGGCCCTTTTCTGGTTGAGCCGACTCATTCTTGCTACAACCATAATATAGCTGCAGCGTGATTCTACGACGTATTTACGTTTCATTAACCTATTCTAGTTAATAAAACGCGATAAAAGTTGTAAAAACTAGTTTTATTCAATGTGTAGTTTTCGCATAAATATGATAAATCATTGTACAGTTCTATTTATATAAAGGCTTCTAATAATAAAATAATGTTTCAGATAAACGGACTGCATTACTTCCAGTCGGACACGAGCAGCACGTAAGATACTCGTTGTCCCGCCAGACATCCGCTTCTCGCCACACAACACCATACATTTGTATCTGTTTACGTATATATGTATATGTATATACGTAAACATGCATGTTGTTTACTTATTTAATCGTATGTTATATTTAATTTAAATAAATTCAAAATGTTCTAAGGTTTCTAATTACCCAGGTACTGAAATAACTAGGCCAGTACGCTTTACTATCTACGTCCACATCTTTACTTACCATCATATAAGAAGTAGTCAAGCTATCACTTATAGTAATTTAAAAAAAATTTGGTTATTTAAAAAAAATTAAATTGTTTCATTTGTTATTTATCATTATAAAAAAACCTTACTCGCGGGAAGCGACAGACGAATATGGCGACATTAACTTTTTTAAATTAGATAACGCTTAGTGTTCCTATAAAAGCACTATGATTAATTAATATTGAGTGAATTAGATGAAGCTTAGTGTTCCTTATATAAATAACGTTATGATAAATTCAGCGAAGGCTTGTGAAATCAACCGAAAACTGCACTAAGCAAAATCTGATGTAAACCTTTAAATAATAAGATATTAACGATAGGGCTACGCATTCGAAATGGCTGGCCGCTGTTATTATTCTGATTGGAATTTCTGCTTATTTGTTATCAACATGTATGGGCATAATAATTAATAATTAGGCAGGAATACCAGCAAGAACTAATGTGATTGTTGGAAGTATATAAACCTAGTATAAGTGGTGCATTTTTATATTATTACGTAAGCAAATAATAGTTATCATAATAAACTGTCTCTCGGTGTTCTTAGTGTAAGTCTGTGTTCCACACGCGGCCTCTGTCCGTGCATTCCTATTGTAATAATCTTTTGTATTTTCAACCATTTAAATGTATTGCTTAAAACTTATCCATATTGTTGGTATTCATAGTTTTACTCGTGTCTTCTTTAACTTACAAAATTTCATTCAAAATAGTTTCTGAACGTATATTATGTTGCTTACAAAGTGACGTTGGCAACATTGCCACGCTCTTGCGCTCTCTTCCCGCCCATCCCCGACCGAGGCAGGCAAAATGTCGCCTTACGTAGCTAATAACTGTACACTACCGCTATTGTATTACTTACTTAAATAGTTATTTTTATTTTAGTACTAAGTATTGACATGTACTTTTAATGTTCCTGAGATGTCGCTGCCAGAAATGCCAAATGTACCTATGGTCTTGTCCTCAAACGGTAGTAAGTAGCTGAAATAACACAAATTGCAATCTCTTCCACCTCGTTTCTGTAGACGGTTTATTTACACATTAATTAACTATCAAAGTTAGACTTAATACTAAAATAACAACAATTTTTATCTTTTAAGTAATAAAATTGTTTATTATACAGTTATCGGTTAGTTTAGTGACAGCCAGCTAAACTAAAGGCGACGTATTGTCACGGTCGCGGCTATGCAGGAAGCAGTGTTGCCAACAGTAAAATCTAGCTCCCGTTGTATATAACACTATAATCTCATCAAATCCCGTCAAGTACAAGTACAAGTGTCATCATTCATTGTATTGCACATTTTTCGTATTTTTAAACTAAAAAATGAATAAAATTATGATTTAATTTTTGTCATTTCCAAATTGTTTTTATTTCGAAAACAAATCTAAAAAAACATAAATTTTGGTTGTCCCGTTAAAAAATCCGTTAGCCGTTAAACACAATTTTTCCCGTTGCCAACCTCGCTATCCCGTCAAATCTAACGGGAAACCCGTCAAGTTAGCAACACTGGCGGGACGAAATCGCAATAATATGGCAATGTTGCTAATATCACTTTATAATAATTTGCGTTCCGAAACGCCTCAAGCTTTACCTCGTAGGGCTTTAAAAATTTCTCGTATTATACTGCTGCAATCGACTCCGATTTCATTTCCATATTAAATATTATGATCCTGTGACAGGGTATTTAGGCGATAAAATATTTTCACTGAATTATATTTTTATTATAATATTAATTTAATCAATATAATTAATTTATCATTATGTATGCCTATATTGATCCGAGCTGTACAGTGCTTTAAAATTTGGTCGAATTTATACATATATTAGAAAAAGTGCATTACACCAGGAATAAAATCAAAATATATCGACTTTATCGCTTTTTTCATATTAAAGACTTATACTTTTTAAAATGTTATGTCCTAAAATTTCAAATTGCCATGTATATTATTAACGACACATTATGACCAATTTTGTTAATCTTTATTCCCAAATAAATCAAAATTAAATTTTATTAATTATGATTAAAAAGTGTAAAACATTTTAAATATCAATATTAAATAAATCATGTTCTATTAAGGAATAATAAAAAATACGACATTTATCAAACGGTGATTTAGGCTTGTAATTAGTAGATAATAGGAATTCATTGTATATAATATTGTTGACATTTTTTGTAATTGACGATTTATAATAAAAAGGCCTACGACAAATATTTTTATGTTGTCATACTTGTTTGCCCATTGCGGTGAAGCTTTTTGGTACTAATTTAAGCGAAATTATATAAAAATTACTACGACTTTCTGGGTAGTAAAAAAATTTACTAGGACTTTCTGCGTATTAAACTTGGGTATTATTGTTAATAAATTATCTTCAGCTGTTTTAGTTAATTATTGCTAATCATCAAATGTCTTCATTCTCTAAGTTGAAATATGTTTAATTGGTTATTTTTGAACAAATTTATAACAAAAGTTGATTGATTGATTATTAAATAGTACTCGGATGACCGAGCTTTGCTCGGTTTTTTTTTAAGTTACATTTAGATACAAATTACATGAATAATATTTTTTGATCTTATTGACATAATAGAAAAAACTGAACTGGTTATTTTAATGAAAATGATGAGTGCAATTAGTTTTATTAAAATTTTTCTTATTTTTAAAAATTACTAAAAAAAAAAGGGCTCGAAATAATAGATTTTCTCACAAAAGAAGGGAATTTGAAAAAAAAAGGAAAAAAAGTCGGACCCAAGACAGGACGGGAACCACGGAACTCCCATATCACGCCCGACCGACATCCCTCCTGAGCTATTACGATCGTTAGCAGTCTGTCAAAATTTACCTTCTTATATTATAGCAGTGTTTTTATTGCCTGAAAACACGGACAAAAGGACATTTTCTAAAAATAAATCCTAGCTAGATCGATTTATTGCCCCCGAAACTCCCTGGACACTAAATTTTAAGAAAATCGTTGGAGACGTTTCCGAGATTCCGATTATATATATATATATATATATATATACAAGAATTGCTCGTTTAAAGATATAGGATTAATTCAATTTTTGCATTTTAAAATTTTTATCGTAAATTTTCGCAACTGATGTGTCGAATTAAAGAAAAGATAACCAATGTAAATAAAACACTGCCACGTTAGCAAAGCTGCCACGCTTCTATAGTGCGTGCCATAATAATAAATTTATCACAGTGTCATAGATGAAAAAACTTCCAAATCGGTAGATATTTTTGTACGAGTTAAGGTAACACATTCGAAATATTATTAAAACTCTTTTATCTTATTAATTAGTAAACTGCTCTTGATGAAAGAAATATAAAAGTCATTAAATTTCATTATATTGGGTTAACAACTTGTTTTCTTTAAAAAGATTACAAAAATTGAATGCACTTGTTGAATTTACTGTTAAATAGAATATTTTTTACAAACTGACCACTCATCAACGTGCCACTCTCTTTACACTTCAGGAAATTTAATGTTTTAAAAGTTCTATGTGAAAAATAAAGTTAAGAGTTGAATAGTGTTTTAATGCGATGTTGTTATAAATGATGAAATATTATTATACGTGTAAGTTGTAACGTTTTCCAAGATTTTTTATCATCAAGTTTAATGTAATGTAACTTTAATGATATACCCTCTGCTGTATGATCACTTAGGATAGGCGTAACATACTGCAATGCGATCATTATTGTATTATTAATTTAGTATTCTGTTAGGCTAACGTAAATTACTTTCATTGGGCTTATTAGGGTTATTTTGCAATAACCGACCAAATTTGCAGAGAAGTTTCAGAATAAGTAATATAGGCAAATGATGAAAAACTTAATATAAAAAAAATCTCAAACATTCTGTCCTTTTTATCTTTTAACCTAAAATGCGTGGTAATTTCATTATTTTAACTGATTTTACGCACTGTGGACGCAATCGTGAGGGTAAAAATAACCATGAAAAATAATTTTATGAAATAATTAATATTTTGGTTTATTTTCAAAATATACAAGTCCGTAAATGATTATTTTTTTACTTTATGGCGTTTTCTGCATTGCAGTATGCTTACCATAAAACATTATTTAAGAAGGCCTTAGGTGTTTTTTCTGTTATATTTAACCGCATCTTTCGCAAAGTTTATCACTGTTAAAGGTTAAACAGTACAAGGCACATTTACGTGTCTTGTAGCCTGTAACATCACTATATGAGGAATTATCTGAACAATGTGATCAAGCTAAATTAGTTAGTTAGTTAAGTTTCATATTTTATTAAATAAATATGTGCATTGTTTAGGCTATGTATGTAAATATTTAACAAAACACAAAATAAAATTATTAATTTACTAATTTATTGTTTTATTTATCCAATAACACTAACTTCAATAAAAGGAATATTATAGTTTGCAAAATGCAAGTTTCATCAGTCTTTTAAGTTTATTTATTACATTATTAGCCGATTAACAGTTTATTTTTGGATTCATGGTTGATTGGTAACTGTATGTTAATGAGTTCAGAGTGCAAAATTCAAAACAATGAATTTTTTTTATATAGGATAGGGTGACAAACGAACACACAGTCCACCTGATGGTAAGTGGTTGCCTATAGACATCTATGGGCCACAGCAACCACTACATCCTTATCATCTACATCTGTCCTTGATTACGAATCAAAATGCGTTGTCACCCGTGAGGACTAAGATGGAATACCTTGTTTCCAGTAAAAGGAGTCATTCTATATTATTCATTCATTCAGTC